CCGATGGGTGGGGGAGAAGGTTGAGGGTTGGGGGCTTGGAGGGCCACACCTCCTCCCCGGAAGCCCTCGAGGCTGCCTCGTCCTCTCCCCACCCGCTCAGCCCCCAGCCTGCCTGGCCAACCGACCTGGAGATTTCGAACAAACATTCCGGGAGGACAGGGTGAGGGTGGGGGCTTGCTGGAGCCTAGGGGTTGCTGAGGCTGGAGCAGAGCCCCCAGGACCTGGGAGAGAGCAGAGTCCCATGGGCACGTTCCTGGGGGTGGCCCTTCCCAGTGCTCCTGGAGAAGCTCCAGAACATCACTGGACCCCAACCACAGTACCTGGCCAGGCAGGAAGCTAAGCACGAGTCTTGTTTTCAAGACCTTCCCGAGCCGAGGGGAGGCTGGGCCCGCCAGAGGCTGCCCAAGGCCCGACAACCCGAAAAGGGCGCCCTGAGGTCACAAGCCCGCACCTCTGTCCTCTTCCTCAGACCTTCCCGCCACTTCCCACAGCTTGGGATAACCCAGTGCACGGCCCAGCGTGGCGGGCCCCCTGCCTGCTCCCTCAGCCTCCTCTGCTACCCAGCTCCCCTCCCTCCTGTCCTCTCCAAGACCTTTCCATCATCCACCCCACATCTGGACCTTTGCACGTGCTGTTCCACGCTCTTCCCCAAGCCACAGCAGGCCGACTCCTATTCACTCTTTGGGTGTGGGCCAAGTTGTAAATTCGCCCAAGAGGCCATCTCTGCTGCTCCCCGTTCACTTGAGGGGGGCCCATCCTGCTTTCTCATGGGTCCTTACCCTCCTGTCTGCACAGACCTCCCTGGGCAGGTGTGTGTGTCTGTCCACTGCCTGCCCACCACCACCAGCTCATTCATGGAGCAGCCGTCTGTGGCCAGCCCTGTGCCATGCGCTTGGCATGATTCACACCGAATCCTCTCCCAGCCCTCTGAGGTTTTTCTATTTCTCCGTTTTACAGATGAGGAAACTGAGGCTCAGAAAGGATGGGCCTCTTGCCCCAGTTTACAGGGGCCGGAGCCGGGCTACGAAGGCTGCTCTATTCTATCTCTTCCTAGCACACAGCAGGTGCCCAATAAATGGTCCTGCAGCAGATGACCGAAGTGGCCAGTGGGCAGCTGGAGCCAGGCCTGCGGGATCTGGGGGCCTCCGCTGGGTCATGCAGGGTGGGGGTGAGACGGGGCCCACCAGGACCCGCTGAGCAAGGCGCCTCCCTCCTGCGTGTCATTAATGAAGCCCTTTATTACCTGCCGTCAACAGGAGCCAGACGCTGTCCCTGCCCAGGCAGGCGGCGACCAGGCTATGGAAAGGTAGCCCCCTTCCCACCTCCCCCTCCTTCCTCTAGGGCCACCCGCTGGGCAGGAAGGGAGCCCGCAGCACCCAGGCCAGGTGCAGGACAGGAGCGGGCAGGGGCCCAGGTGGTCCCTCCACCCCGGCCCCTCCC